ATATGTTATGAAAAGACTAACCAATCAATTATATTAACTATGGTTAACATGTCTAATCATAAAATGTTAGGAAATGTTAGACCCCTTTCCATCTATAGATAAAAAGACTTTTTATACAGTATTTAGTGACTGACATAAACTGAATAAGAAATGAAAAGACAATCATTTGATTGCATTAAATATGAGATCAGAAAATATTAAATTCATTTCAATCACAGACCCAGAGTTCAGCGAAACAGTTGAGACATGAAATCAATTTTGTATTTATTTTCTCATATCTTATAAATCAAGAAATCAAATGTGAATTTCGGGCAAAAAAAAGATTTTTATGTTTTGTAATCAAATCTTAGCGAAAGAATTATACGATTTGTGTGTTTGATATGTATTTAATATATAATTGAGTTAATGTTTAGATGAGTTGTCGTTAATATTTAATATAATATATAATAGTTTTGCGATATAAGTGTTCATAGAGTGGATGCGGTGGATATGATGTGATGTGTCGTTCCTCCAGTTCCTCTGACTCTGTTTTCTGCTTTCATCTCTCTCTCTCTCTCTCTCTCTCTCTCTCTCTCGTTATGACTACTGGCGCAGACCTCACGTGTATTTGTTTCTAAGGCTAGAGAGAGAGAGAGAGAGAGAGGGGGGGAGGGAGAGAGAGAGAGAGAGAGAGATGGGGGAGAGAGAGAGAGAGAGAGAGAGAGAGAGAGAGAAGTCAACTGAACTAACAAATTAGATTATGAACGCCTGTCAGTCCTGACTGTTAAAAATGGTTCACTTCAAAGAGTGTCGGCCCAAATGATACGCGAGAGAGACTGCGAGAGAGAATACTAGAGAGAGTCCGAGAGAGCAATGTATTGCTGTGTATTGAGTCAGAGCTGAGACTTTAAACGCCAAAACACGCCAATTGTGTTCACATTTCTCTTATTTAAGACCTGACAGAGCAATGAGACATCGGATGTGATATTTAGCCAACACTTGGTGTTCGCCTCCCTATAAGTCAGACACCACTCCAGCCCTCCATTCAATGCACTTCTTGAAGGCTATATCAATATGTTTGACAAGAATTTGTGTTTTTCCGTATTATATGCCATTATATTTGACTTATTGATTGTCTAATCATTCTTAAGGCAAACGACTTGTTAATAATATTTGATTTGAATTTGATAACGTATTCTGTATATTATTTGTATTGATTTAAAAGTTTAATAAATTAGTTTCTTTATACTATGTTTAGTAAACAATGTGTTAATAACCCATTGATAAACCATAAGAAAGCACAATCTATTTTACAAAAAGTGATAATAAATTAATCTGGCAAATTCTGTCATAAAATAGCTGTGAGTTTATTATATGGAAGTCATTCACTGTTTTATGTCTCATAAACAGTGGGAAAGCACTCAATAGTCAATACTCTATCACTTGGAGACTCCAAACAACTCTCAGATTATTAAAAGTCTATTCATATGAATGTTATTATATAATAGAGAGATTATTTAAGACCTGACAGAGCAATGAGACATCGGATGTGATATTTAGCCAACACTTGGTGTTCGCCTCCCTATAAGTCAGACACCACTCCAGCCCTCCATTCAATGCACTTCTTGAAGGCTATATCAATGTGTTTGACAAGAATTTGTGTTTTTCCGTATTATATGCCATTATATTTGACTTATTGATTGTCTAATCATTCTTAAGGCAAACGACTTGTTAATAATATTTGATTTGAATTTTATACCGTATTCTGTATATTATTTGTATTGATTTAAAAGCTTAATAAATTAGTTTCTTTATACTATGTTTAGTAAACAATGTGTTAATAACTCATTGATAAACCATAAGAAAGCACAATCTATTTTGCAAAAAGTGATAATAAATGAATCTGGCAAATTCTGTCATAAAATAGCTGTGAGTTTATTATATGGAAGTCATTGTGACAAAATACAGAGTATTTGTCACCCTTTCGTGAGTTATCAGTTATGAGATAGTGAACCTCTGAGGTTTGTTGAGAGTCTAATAATTTTCAGATAAGTATACTTACAATAATATATTATCTCTCTAAGGAATTGGAGGCTAAGGCTATAATTCAGTTAAAACGTGAATTAAGACCACTATTGTGTGGCACCCAATACTGTACAGACATATATATATCCAGAGCTGCCTGTGCTCTAAGGATACAGATGTGATACTTCTCATCATCCCTTTCCAGCTCTTCATCCCTGACATCCAGTTCCATAGCTCTCTGCCTATTGTTCATATGATTATCAAATCGGATCCGCAGCGCAATGCCTGTCCTCTTCTCATTGTATTGTTTGTCATATAATCGTCTCTTCAATACATGGATTCATATAATAGTATAAAAAACATCTCAAGACAGAGAGATAAGTTACCATTATGAGTTGTGTTATTGTCTTGTTAACTAAAAACTTTCTCTTTATATTAGTAATTTATCTCTTTTGTGCGGTTTTCAAAACACATAATTTTTTAACTTAGGCAAATTGAAATATTCAATCAAATGGTTAGATATTTGTACAGAATTTACAAAATTCTTAAAATATTTTTGCTGATTTATCTAATGTGTATTGCATTTTTGTGTATTATTATTTAATAATTAAATAAATAATATTCTTATTCTTCTAGTATTTTTAAGAATATATTTAGCAATTATATTATTAAGCAAGTTAAAATATTAATTTAGTTTATTGATTTAGTAATATGTAGGTTTATTATGATTTTTGTTTGTAAGTATAACTCACATATGGCACATGGAGGTAGAGTTCATAACATGAAATTAAAATAGTTTTTTGTATCTGAATCTCAGATTTTATATTTGTTGAGAGAGAGAGAGAGAGAGAGAGAGAAAGAAAGATAGAAAGAGAGTTCATAAAATCAAACATTGAAATTGATTACAGAGTTTGTGTTGCATTAACTGCTTGTGTTAGGAAGGGCACCGGGAGTATAAGGAATGGTAGATTTTTGCTACACGTTAGCAAAAGTGCCATTAGATTCTTGTGCTGATCTTGTTGAGCGCCGTATGATATAAATTGTATGCTTTTAACGTTACAGTGTATGGCACCGAGAGCTTTGACATCCAGTTTAGGCATACATTGGATTTCGGGTGAGTTAGGAGTGAGTGAGACATACAGTCTCTCACTGTATGTATGCGAGAGAGAGAGAGAGAGAGAGAGCCATAAGAGTATATATGAGATAAAGAAATAGCAATTACAGTGTCCGGTGAGACGGAAAATGCTGAAATTGAGAGGTCGGTGCCGATGCCTGCCTGTGCTATGAGTGCACTGCAACTGCCGATCGATCGCAATGTTGTGTATCGTATGAACACAGCTATAGTCGACTATAGAGACTGTGGTGTCTGTGCTATGACTATGACTGAGACGTTTCGCTACAGTTTTCATCGCAAACACAGAATATTCTTACGATTTAGACATGAATTTTGGTAATTATTTCCGCGAAAAGCAATTAATAACTCGTCAATCAATGCGTGGAGAAGCGATTAAATTGTTAATCGATTTTCAATTTGAGTGTAAAGTTTGTTATGAAATATGATATTCACGTAAAATATTGATGATTTTGTTAGTGATATCAACGCGTGTAATGATATTTACTCGCAATATAATGAGAGTCGACTGTATTTGGTGTCAATATATCGTTATATAAGGAGTTTTGTGAACGCAATCCTAAAACGGCTTAAATGTATGGCAAAAAAGCTTAACTTTATTTCGATTTCGATTTAGTAGTTATACGACAGGAGAGAGAGAGAGAGAGAGAGAGAGAGAGAGTTTTTAATTCAATGTATGTTTTAGTTTTCAATATTAGTATTCATCTAATATTAGGTATATTTCGTGTGATTCATATGAATCAGTGTTTTATTAATGTTTAGTATATTATGGTTGAGGTGAAGGAATTTTATGCCACAGAATATTCTATACATTTTGTAATCATACTAATCATACAAAGAATATTCTGTATTCTGGTGTAGAGAGAGAGAGAGAGAGAGAGAGAGAGAAAGAGAGGGAGAGAGAGAGAGTGAGAGAGAGAGAGATTCATATGTTTTGCACAACTTTTATAATCCATATCTATCTCTCACTCCACATATAATATATATTAAACACAATCGTCTAATACTTTATACTAAACAACAATAATAACTGATTTAATCCTACGGTCCCCCACATCTCTGACAGTGCCTACCCTACCGTTCCCCATAGCCATCCCTATCCCCCTATTGTGATATAGGCATGTAATTTACTATAACAATGCACTCAATCTATGGCACCGACACTACACAGCGAATAGAGTATAGGCTTATAGTTGGAGTGCATGTCGTTGTTGCACTCTCATCCCTATCCCTATTCTACATAAATACTAGGCCTAACCCTAAGCTAACGGTGCCTAGTGTTTGACTCTCATTCTCTGGTCATTGTATTATGTATTATGCAATTGACAGAGAATTGACTATATTTTGCAATACTTAGCCCTTAACTGTTAAGAGAGATTTGTTATACCATTACATATAAATGGCTCACAATTTACTAATTTATTGCTCCCAATTATAGTGTACGACAACATATATAATACCAGTGCTCCCAGCATACTGTTCCCGACAATTCGCAGTCGACTCCCAACAGCAATAATAGTATTATAAATTATTTTCAATAAAATATATTTCACTTTTCATTTTTATCGCTCAAAATGTGGATTGAAATGAGTTTTCCAGAGAATATTCTGAACTCAATCTCTATATTACAAGAGTTTTGTGATATTTTATAAATATTTTTGAATAAATGATTAAATTCTGGTTATATTTAGAATTATTTTTTTGTATTTTATTTAAATTAATATCAATTAATACAGCATTTTATGGAAATTTATATATATTTTTGTGTGATTCTGTATTTTTCTTAAATATAATTTTTAATTTCAATTATTATTTTATACATACGTTTAGTTTTATTTTTTGTAAATAATGTTATTTGTATGGTATGTATGGTATGAAAGTGTGGTAAACAGACAAAGCGATCGAGTATTCAAATTATATGATTATTTGGATGTTTTTATTGTCAAAACTTATATATAATTTTATTTATAATTGTGTTTTTTTCATTACGTATTGTTTATATAAATTACATATTTATATGAGAGATATTAGTAAAAGTTTTGTTTCCGTATTGTTTCCAACAATTAATTGATGAGTGATTTTGATGCGAAAAACACTTCCGATTTGTTTATCAGTATTTTCAGTCATTTCTTAAGAATTGGTACAAAAAAACAAAAATTATTTTTTCATTTTCTGAAAACCATATGAGATCTGAGTTTTTGGTTTTCCATATCATATGTCCAAACGAGATGTTTGCCACAGAAATACATGTCATTCACGATATATATTACAAATAAATGGCGCATAAAATTGTCGACAAAATTATTGGTTAGTTTGTAACATGGTGCTTTAGTTTGTTTGCAAAGTCGTTCAGTATATTAATGGTATTTATTGCACAAAAACTTATGTTTTGTAGTCTAATGAGTAGTTTATTTAATATAGTTGTCATTATCCCATAATAATTACTTATATTTATAGATTGGTTGTCACTGAATACGGGGCCAGTAGTTGGAGGCGGCCTGCATGGCATTGGTGAGGTCAGTGGTCTGCCCGGGCACCTGTACGGGCACTGACACCCCGGGTGATATCAGACCTAATATCAGAGAAAAATAAATAGAAATTAATTTTTCAATTCATTTGTTACGAAACGATAGGAAAGATCGATAAAAATGTTTTCTCCAAACATATCATTTGATTCATTGGTTTCATGGCCACAAAAATTTAACGCAAAATTAGTTTTTCAATCATTTGATTAACACGAGTCAATCCCTGGACCGTAACCTCACAGCTATAATATATACTGTATATCTAGACACCGGCCATACCTACTCCCAGATTACATCTCAATACACATAATATAATTAATTTTCATTACAAACATAATTTGACTTAAAAACTGCTGTATATTCCTATCAAACGTCAAATGATATCTGATTTTAACACATGATTAGTGTTTAATTGAAACTTTCATTACATTCCTATATAAAACTAATAGAGGGCACAGGTATGTCAGTGATATGGTTTACCGGTAGAGTTTGCCGGGTTGTTGACACCACCGAACTGTCCGTTTTGCATGGCGTGCACCTGAGCCGCCGATGGGCACGAGGGTCGCGAATAGCCTCCCAGTGTGATGGGGTCGTAGCCACGGCCAGGCCCGGGAGGTAACATACATGAGTAGGACGAGGCGGCCGCGGCGGCCGCTGCCTGTTGTTGTAGACACGAATTGGACGCCATATTATTGGCCATCGAATAGGATGTCATTCCCATCGAACTGAATGCCATAAACAAAGAATATTTAGTAAAATACAAGAATATTCCGGATATTCTGGTAATTACTTAATATACCTGTAAGTGTCGGCCATCGACGCCATGGGCTGCGGAAT